AAGCAACTTCTCTGAGACGCACTGTACGGACAATGGGGACAGTTATAAGGTTTCTCACCAGTATGAACATTAATGTGTTCCTTGAGGAGTTCTTTCCGAGTAGTGCCATAAGAACAATACGGACAAGAGAAAGGTCTCTCTCCGGTATGCTTTAATATATGTCTACGCAACTTAAAGGAATCGTTTGTATTGTAGGCACAGTGCGGACATTGGTGCACCCTGCCAGAGGTGATAGGGGGGCTCTGCCATTCCCCTGCTGTTCTTCTTCCACCAGCCCAATGTGGGTTTGTGTCCCGCTCCACCTGCAGAGGAGGCTTCATCTTACTGGTTATGCAATGTAATAATCACCTAATTTTCCTGCTTTTCCCCATGAGGACTTCACCATTAAAATATACATTATGAAAACATGCTTTCAACAAATAAAATCACGTAATCTGATGGTTAAAAAAAGGACCAAAAATTGAAGAGCAATTCAATAAGAGAGGATTAAAATACAATAGAGGTGTGTGTGTGTGTGTGTGTGTGTGTGTGTGTGTGTGTGTGTGTGTGTGTGTGTGTGTGTATGTGTATGTATGTCTGTGTGTGTATGTATGTCTGTGTGTGTATGTATGTCTGTGTGTGTATGTATGTCTGTGTGTGTATGTATGTCTGTGTGTATGTGTGTGTGTGTATGTGTGTGTGTGTATGTGTGTGTGTGTATATGTGTATATGTGTGTGTATGTGTATATGTGTATATGTGTATATGTGTATATGTGTGTGTGTGTGTGTGTGTGTGTGTGTGTGTGTGTGTGTGTGTGTGTGTGTGTGTGTGTGTGTGTATGTGAATGTGAATGTGAATGTGAATGTGTATGTGTATCTGTGTGTGTATGTGTATGTGTGCATGTGTGTGTGTGTGTGTGTGTGTAACTGAGTGAAAATGTGTCAATGTCTATATTTGTGAGTGTCTTTGATATTGCATGTATATATTAAAGTAAATTTTTGTATCTTACACCATCCAGACTTTATAATTCTTTCAATTTCTAATCAAAGATAAATATAATCAATTTTGCCTATTTCTTCCTACTTGTACCACACAACTACCTTCCTAGTTTTGTTTGTTGAAAAGACAACTAGTGCTACATCTGTTTGTCTGGTATACGTAATTAGTTTGAGGTTCCATTCAATTAATGGTTTGAAATATTCATTAATATGGCATTACATTCATTTCACCTCAAGCCACTGACAATGGCATATATGTACAAGCCATGGCCACTGTGAATTTAATTTATCAAATATCTTTACACAAAGATCACTCCACAAGTTCTAAGTCACCAATGAGCCATTTACAAATACTGCCTTTCTCACCTGTTAACCGTTTTCCATGATTTTTGAAAATATTTTCTGGTATGTTATATTGCTGTTAGTAATGACAACACTATAATAATTATAACGTGTATAAGAAAAATAACAGTGTTGATGTTGATAGCATTAGTAAAAAGAATATCTTACTATGAATGGTTCCTGATGGTTCCTGAAGTGACTAAAGTTTGAAATTGCAGCTAAATTTGTTTCTGTAGTATATTTCAGTATGCAGCTAATGTAAGTTCTCCTTTAGTATTTGGTAATTTGAAAAAGACTGATCATTCCAAAGTAATTGCTAATGATAAAGTCCTATCAACAGGAAAAGGTTAATTGACAATATGTTTCACCAGGCCTGTCATCTATGTGTATGTGTCACAGAATGTGTGGTCATTAGCTCTACCCTTCTATCAAGTTTTCTCCAAAATATGGAAAGATAGCTGTGTCTTTCATTGTATGAAAACAGACACAAAACACAAACATATACCAACACTGTCACCCACGCTCATACACATGTTCATATGACAAAAATAATTCTTCTTGATAATTATGGATGCTTACTTTTTTGTTCTGTGCAATAATTTTTATTTATTTATTAATTTTTTTGTAAAACGAATTTAGAGTCACATACTGTTTTTCTCTGGTTTCAGTACATATATAAAATGGTTGAGATAATAAATAAAATTCAATAAAAATCTGGAAATGACAAAGGAAAATAAAGGAGCACTAATTAATAGAAAATGGGTTGGGTGTCTAATAGAATTATAATTTGAATGTATGTAATGTTTTTGTTCTTGGAATGATTTCATCATTCTTATTAAACAATTCTCCCTAGCTTTGGAACCACTGCTCTAAACCATACAGAACAATCTACTCCTGCACAAGTTTATCTTCTTCAGGAACATATCACACTGAGGTTCAAACTTCTGGTATTTGACAGAAAGAATACCCCCCCAATCAGCACATTTCACTTCCTCTTTTTCTCCCTTTCAGTGTAAAGCTGAATCACTCATCTTATGGGTCAAAAGGTGATTATTCAAGTTTGATTTTTGAGCAGCACGATATGGGCAGTGCACACATGCATAAGGCTTTTCTCCTGTATGTCGACGGATGTGGACCTTTAAAATGTTCTTACGAGAAGAACTGTATGGACAATATGGACAAGTATAAGGCCTTTCTCCAGTGTGTATGTTGATGTGATCTTTTAAGAGCTCTTTCCTTGCAGCTCGGTACGAACAGTAGGGACACGAAAATGGCTTCTCTCCTGTGTGCTTCAGAATATGCCTCTTCAGCTTATTAGATTCAGTTGTGTTGTAGGGGCAATGAGGACACTGGTGGCCACTGCTGGAGGAAGGGAGGCCCTGCCAAGCGCCTGTGCTGCCTCTTCCTTCGTGCCACTGGCAGTTTGATTCCAGCTCCACCTGCAGAGGAGGTTCATCTTACTCTTGATTAAAAAAGCGAAATGGACTCTTAATTCTCCCTCTGTCTTTTTTAACTCATATTCTATGGGTGGTGACATGACTGAACATTCTGTGTTTTCAAATATATTTTCAGGAAAAACGAGGAGGAATATCTTAAGTGTGTCCCACTACATAATTCCCCATTTTCTGTACAAAAATAATACCACAGAAAAAAAAAAGAATGAGGAGGAAGAGACAAAGGAGTAAGAAAATGTTGGCAAATTATAATACTTCGTCATAAAAAATACCTCACATAATTTACACCCCTCCTTATGTGATAAACACATAATTCAAGGCAGTAGCTTTATATTTACAACATTCACATCAATACCAAAATAACAAATTCACACAAAATGTTCACATTTCCATTAGACTTTTTGGTACTTAAAGAGCTACTGTTATTCAGTTTGGGTACTAAATCATGTTTTCCCCTCATTAAGATGAGTCATCATATGGACCCTTAATGTTGATTTTTGAATTGCCCGATAAGGACAAATTGAACATGGATATGGTCTCTCCCCAGTGTGTGTACGAATATGAACCCTCAGAACGTTCTTCTGCGTAGCACTGTATGAACAGTGTGCACACTTGAAAGGCCTCTCCCCTGTATGTGTCATTTTATGTTCCTTCAAGTTATCTTTCCTTGCTGTCTTGTACGGACAAATAGGACACACATATGGCTTTTCTCCATGTGTGTTTTCGGTTGTGTCTCTTCAGAGTATATATAAACGTTGTGCTGAATGAACAGTAACTGCAGTTGTATACCCTGGTAGTGTTGCCCTGTCCAGCTCCAGTGGGTGATTCATCAGTCCTCTGGCTTACCTGCAGAGGAGGCTTCATCTTATTTCTTTGCAATACATGTAGCATATTCATGATAGTCCTAAATAACCTACCAAAATAACAAATTCACACAAATGTTCACATTTCCATTAGACTTTTTGGTACTTAAAGAGCTACTGTTATTCAGTTTGGGTACTAAATCATGTTTCTCCCCTCATTAAGATGAGTCATCATATGGACCCTTAATGTTGATTTTTGAATTGCCCGATAAGGACAAATTGAACATGGATATGGTCTCTCCCCAGTGTGTGTACGAATATGAACCCTCAGAACGTTCTTCTGCGTAGCACTGTATGAACAGTGTGCACACTTGAAAGGCCTCTCCCCTGTATGTGTCATTTTATGTTCCTTCAAGTTATCTTTCCTTGCTGTCTTGTACGGACAAATAGGACACACATATGGCTTTTCTCCTGTGTGTTTTCGGTTGTGTCTCTTCAGAGTATATATAAACGTTGTGCTGAATGAACAGTAACTGCAGTTGTATACCCTGGTAGTGTTGCCCTGTCCAGCTCCAGTGGGTGATTCATCAGTCCTCTGGCTTACCTGCAGAGGAGGCTTCATCTTATTTCTTTGCAATACATGTAGCATATTCATGATAGTTTCCTAACTCCAAATCAGTATCTCTTACAGATCTGATGACTTTAAAACTTTCATTTATTCATGGAAAAAAGAAAAAAGAATGCATGTCTGCAGTCTACAGTTAATGTTTGAATGTAAAGATTGATAAAGTGTTCCACCTTTTATTCCCTCTCACTCTCACTCTCACTCTCCTAGTCAAAGAGAAGGAAAAGAAATGCTATATGCAAAAAGTATATTCCCTTTAAAAATCTGTTAATTTTAACAATATGAACACAATTTACATTATGTGCAATATCTCAGAAAATATAAAAATGAAGAAGAAAGGAAGAACGAGAAGACAAAAGTAAAGTACATCTTCCAGTGACCCTCAAGATAATCAGCATTCAATGTTCAGTAAAATAAGCCAATGCACTAACATAAAGGCAAACTGATAATTAATCTAAAATATATGCAACAAATCAAAATAAATATTACAAAAATTAATCCATACTATAAGTAAGAATTTAAAAATTTCCATGATTGTAGCCTGTACTTAGGTGTCACATGTAAATGATAGATATAAATACTAAAATATTTTTTTTACTAACCCATTCATGGTCTACACCACATGTAACTGTATAAAATGCAAAGATGTATCTAATGTTACCAATCACCCCTTTATATTCACCACATGAGGCATTACTATTTTTCTTACCACAGGATATCTTACTGGAGATCTTCGCATGCCACCTAGAGATGTAAGATCTCTTTTCCTAGGTAAATCATTTAATTTTCAAACATGCAATACAGCTGGGTTTCCAATACAACTCTGTTCTTATGTCATTGTGCCATCCATCTTGTGCTTTTGCAAATGGGTATTCAAACATGACTTTTGGGTGGCACGGTAAGAACAATATAAGCAGGCAAAGGGTTTTTCTCCAGTGTGCCTGCGAATATGAGTCTTCAGAATGGTCTTGTGCGATGATCGGTATTCACAAAAGGGACAAGAATATGGCCTTTCCCCTGTATGCGTATTGATGTGCTCCCTCAGGAGAGCTTTTCTTGTAGTGCTATAAGGACAATACTGGCAAATAAATGGCTTCTCTCCAGTGTGAGTAAGAATATGCCTCTTGAGTGTTTGGCTAGCAGGAGTAGTGTATGTGCAATGAGGGCACTCAAAGATCTTCCTTTTGAGGGAGCTGAAGTCCTCCCATTCTTCTATGCTTCCTCTGCCATCAGTCCATTGATAGGTAGTCTCCCGCTCCACCTGTAGAGGAGGCTTTGTCTTATTCTTTATAATGGACAGATCCCACATCTTCTTTGTGATCTTCTGTGGATGAGTTATTTGGGTTCCCACAATTAAACACCTATACTCAGATATTTTTTGCTGAGGCAAAGGTATCCTTAAGATACTGAGTTATGGCTGTCTGAATGCAGCATATCTGATATGTGTGTGTGTGTGTATGTGTGTATGTGTGTATGTGTGTATGTGTGTGTGTGTGTGTGTGTGTGTGTGTGTGTGTGTGTGTGTGTGTGTGTGTGTGTGTGTGTGTGTGTGTGTGTATATGTATATATATGTATATATATGTATATATATGTATATATATGTATATATATGTATATATATGTATATATATGTATATATATGAATATATATCTCTATATATATGTATATATGTGTGTGTGTGTGTGTGTACACACACACACACACACACACACACACACACACACACACACACACACACACACACACACACACACACACACACACACACACACACACACACACACACACACAGATCTGACAAGTGGTGAGTATGTTCAAGGCTCTGGACAATCATTGCAATTATGAAATGAAAAGAACTACTTGAAACAAAAGAGAAAACCCACAATCCTTGGTAAAATCCAAGAAATAAACAGTATCAACTTTTCCAAAACCAGGGCTATCAATATTATTTCAAGATAATCTTTTTCCTCAAAATGGAAAGTAAAAATATGATAATATTAAGCTATTTAAATTTAGAGGTTTACAGTTTCTGACCTTCAGGCATTTTGCATTTATATACAAGTTAATGAAATTCTGACATTCATTATGTTGCATGCTACACACACAACTGATGTAACATTGAGTTAGAATCAGTACTGTAACTTGCCAGAATACTTAAAGAATAACATCATAATTGAAATCTGAATTCCAGTGTAAACAAATCCACAGTGAACAAAATACCTCAAATGTGCAATACCATTACCAAGGTAGATTTGATGACATGACCATGACATCATGGAAAAATATGGCTTCAGGGGAATGTGGTGTGAACATACAGTCCTGGGAAAATTTCGCTGTGGGAAGGGGTGATGTGAACTTCGCACTGTGAGCATTTCATCTGAAGGCCGGGGTAGAGGGAATGACTCACCACAGGTATACAAACCTCTTGTAAACTCAATTGGCATTTTGGGAAGGGCTTTTGCATTATTTCCATCAATAAATGTGTATGTAATGCACTGTCTGTGATCCATGACTGGAGGAGCACCAGCTCCAGGGGGGATGCTATTTCCGTACTAAGGCTCCTCTGGCCACCATTTATTTTACAGAAAATTGAATATCAAGAAAAATAAATTACAAAAATAGCTAAATGTTACTTACAGTTGTTATCATAGCACTAACTTATGGACTACCTAGATAGATGATATTGAGTCTGTGCAAGGAAAATAGTCTATTAACGTCTGGATACAGCATATCAAAAGACAAATATAGATGTTGGAAAATGGCAAAAAATCTGAAAATGCTTATGCAGAAAAAGAGATAACATTGCAAAGGGTAGGCATGGAGTCTCGTTACCACATGAGAGTTCTTGTGCGCCTGGCCTACAAGCCACACATCCACCAGAGTAGCTGCTCATGTAAGCCTAATGCCCAGACTTTGGGTCACCTGAATCCAAGGTATATCATCTAATCATGGCTACATTTGACTTCAAAGATATGAACTTCTTTGATGTGCTATATCATTAATGACCTGATGTGGTATTATCTTTAATTTTCCACATTCAATTTAGCAATGAGGAATTAGAATTAAAGAATCAGATTTATCCACTTGTCATAAGCTGGTTAAGAAGAAACCTAAGAAAATCACAAAACAAAGTTTCCCCATTTTCTAATTATGCCAGTCCATCAGATTGGTCCCTGGTGTCCTGGGCGACTTTCCCCCTTAAGCCGGAGGACAGCTTTGGAGGAGCTGCTGTTCCACAAAGCTTCTACTTATCTTTACAAATTCTGCCCCCTGCCTTTGGATTAGTGTTAATTTTTGGGATAGTCATGATTGAGAGGTTATGAAGGATACCTGAGGTTGACGGGTGCACTGGGATAGCATATATAACTTTCTTAGAATGATATAAAGACCAACGATTCGTTACATTGCCAACACATAATACATAAATTCTGGTATAAGCACATAAACCAAAGACTGGACATCTTTTCTGTAATGACAACTGCCATTTCATATCATCTACTGCAAGAGTGGAGTAAATCACAGTTTAGACCAATTCCTGTGACTACAATATAGGTAATGCTGAGGTAATTTCTCTTAACCTGCAAGCAAATATTAAACAAAATAAATACACAACTGGGGTAGAAAATGCAAGTTTCTTCCATTATTCAAAATATATAAAATATCTCTCATATGCAATTTAACTGCATATTTCGTATCCATACCCTGACAACTAATTGCCTTAGAATTATCATTATTAAACCAAATCATAATTACATCAGGAATTCAAGACACTTTCTATATAACTGTTTCTTAACTAAACATTTTAGCCAATCATTAACTATTAAAAATAAGTGTTCTTGATGCAATAAAACTGTTTCCTACATCAGATCACAATCAAATACAGTGCCAATCCACTTTTAAATGTTAAAAAGTTGAAGCACCTATATTCTCTTTCTATTTAACATTCCATCAAGAGTAATAACCCATTAATAACAATAACATTAACCATAATAATAAAGATAAAAAAATAGCAAGAACAATAATAATAAGATAATGAATAATAATAACAAAGCTCATGATATACTTGTTTCATCACATTTCTTGTCACTCATGAATTCCTCTCTAAAACAGGCAAATGAGAAAGTAGAGACAGTAAGACAGAGGAAGGGGAAGAACAGAATAGAAACCATGCTCTGTTATATCTACACAACATACATTTTAATGCATCTAAAAAGGTGATGATAAATCTGCCAAAAAGATAACAAAATATGGCTGCCATAGTCTCTTTATTGGTCTGCAAATATCTGTACCAATCAACCTATCATCAGGTATCTAGGGGAACTGGTTGAACGAAAGTGGGCAACTTGACAGGAAGTGCATGTGAGGCTACAAGGAGTCGGAAATGCTGGAGGAACGCTAGTGGAGTGGTCTACGGCAAAAGGAAACCAATGAGCCTAAAAGCACAGGGACTGGATGGCTAAAGAGAGGTCAGCAGTGCAAGTGCTGGATAGACTGTATGAAAGGGGATGGAAGATGACCTGGCCTGAGTTAAGAGAGAGTAGAGTGAAGAAGGGTGACCAGAAGGGGACAAATTGACGATGAACCTTATATCACCAAAATCATGAGAAAAACCATCATTTTTTTCAAATGCAATGTAATCTTTGAAAGGACTGGTGTAAGCGGCAGAAATTTAGTAAAATCACCTTAATTAAAATTGGACTAATCCATATTTTCTATGTCATCTGGTATCTGGTATCTTCTGCATTGAATTGTTTAAGATTTATTCATTGATTTATGCATTTTTAATAAATACAAAAACAAAAATGAGTCATAAAAGTTATGGCTGCCAAAGAACAATAAAATAAAAGAGCCAAGAAAAGTAACAAGATATTGTACCTTCTAAGTAAATATAAGTAAAAATCATGTGAAAATCAAAACTACTGATACCATAATAATAATAATAATAATAATAATAATAATGATAATAACAATAATAACAATAATAAGTAATAACAATAACAACAATGGTACCAATTTCTTATCAATAGACAAATAATATCAAATTACTTAATATAATTTTTTTTTTAACAAACTAATTTTTGGTCCAACATACATACATCTTTAAAAATTCTCCCAGAAAAGCCAATTTTCACCAGAAAATCCTCTTAACTCAAGACTAAGACTGATGATGTGAAAAGATGTGTCTTTGCAAGCTAAATTTCTGAGTTGCTCTGAAGGAGCAGTGATCACACGCATAGGGCCTCTCTCCACTGTGTGTATGGAAATGCCTTCTCAAGTTCTCTGGTTGGGTGGTTCGGAACGGACACTGAGAACATGCGAATGGTTTTTCTTTAGTATGCGTACGGATATGCTTCTTGAGACTGGTGGTGTATGGGGTGACGTAAGGACAGTAGGGACACTGGTGCGTTGTCCTAGTTGTAGGCACAGTCTTGGCTCCTACGGCATCTCTTCTACTCATTCCCACCTGTTGGTGATGCTATCCTTAAGTACTTGATCGACAGGGCATCCATTAGAGTGTATGTAAGCGTATGATCTTAGGTCTACAAAAAAAAAGATATGAAATATACCCCAGTGTCTACTCCTGGAGAAAAATAAAGAGAGAAAAGAATAAAAACTGTCATTTCAGAACTCATTTTCCTTAAAGATTATTACTAGTATTAAATCTGGACAAGAAATGAAATATCAATAAATGGTCTGCAACTTGTGTATGTTGATACCCTTTAGTTTTGCATAGATTTACCCATACAATCTGGATGACTTGACCATCACACCATGAAAAAAATTTGCCTTGAGGGCC